CATATAGTAATTCATCCCCCATATAGTAATTCATCCCCCATAGTAATTCATCCCCCATATAGTAATTCATCCCCCATATAGTAATTCATCCCCCATATAGTAATTCATCCCCCATATAGTAATTCATCCCCCCTACTATAGTAATTCATCCCCCCTATAGTAATTCATCCCCCATATTAATTCATCCCTCATATAGTAGTAGTAAGTAAGTAGCAAGTAGTAAGCCAAGTCCCCCCTGTGTCAATTCACTTACCTTTGCTCCGCGCGTTCCTCTCGCTGTGTTCCCGCGCCGTTCCGGTCTTCAGGGAGGACTGTGAGAGGAGCCTAGCTCCTCTCACGTTTGTCACGCTGCCCCGCCTACACACATCCTGACAGCCAATCACTGGCTATCAGGATGTGAGTGGCAGCGAGACTGGCCAATCATTGCATTTGAGCGCGCTGCCCTGGCTGTTTTTTTTTTGGATCACGCTGCAGAGTCCCTGCCGCCCGAGAGGAGGGAGGGGAGCGGGCGCCCGGCACACAAGAGCCGCATTAAAGCGTGTAAAGAGCCGCATGTGGCTCGCGAGCCGCGGCTTGCCGACCACTGGGGTAGTATATTGTGTTTGTGCACTAAAACTAATTGGAGAATTTTATACTGAGAATATAGATGTGATAAATAGAAATGCAAATATAGTGTAATGTGCATTTAACGTCTGTGGGGGGGGGACGGCAGTCTCTGGCAAGGAAAGGGTTAATGGTAAGCGCACAGATGTGTACCGTGCAGCAATAAGCACAGACAGTAAAATGTTGAGTGGACTGGTTTTCGACCTTCATCCAAGGCATGTCAGCATTGGTGGGTGAGGCCATGGCATATACAGTATGTTGTGTATATACACTATATACTGGATATGTAATGATCAGTCTCATTTCCCATGTTACCCTGTTAGAACGTCTGCTACCATGTTGTCCAGTTCCAATGAACTTTGATCCCACTCAAATTAACTAATTGCTGTCCACTCCATAGCATATATACAGCTACAGGGTGGCCGCGCTGTGCAGAATCATGTGCACAGCCGTGGCCAAACGTTTTGAGAATAACACAAATATACATTTGCACAAAGTCTGCTGCTTCAGTGTTTTTAGATCTTTTTGTCAGATGTTTCTATGGGATACTGAAGTATAATTACAAGCATTTCATAAGTGTCAAAGGCTTTTATTGACAATGACATGAAGTTAATGCAGAGAGTCAATATTTGCATTGTTGACCCTTCTTTTTCAAGATCTCTACAATTTGCCCTGGCATGCTGTCAGTCAATTTCTTGGCCACATCCTGACTGATGGCAGCCAATTCTTGCATACCCAATGCTTGGAGTTTGTCAAATTGTAGAGGTTTTTTTTTTTTTTTTTCGTTTACCCGCCTCTTCAGAATTGACCACATGTTCTCAATGGGATTAAAGTCTGGGAAGATTCCTGTCCATGGACCCAACATTTCGATATTTTGTTCCCCAAGTCACTTAGTTATTATTTTTGCCTTATGGCAAGGTGCTCCATCATGCTGGAAAAGTCATTGTTCATCACCAAACTGTTCTTGGATGGTTGGGGGAAGTTGCTTTCGAAGGATGTTTTTGGACCTTTCTTTATTCATGGCTCTGTTCTTGGGCAGAATTGTGAGTGAGCCCACCCCCTTGGCTGAGAAGCATCCCCACACATGAATGATCTCAGGATGCTTTACTGTCGGCATGACACAGGACTGATGGTAGCGCTCATCAAGGTTTTTTCCAGATGCCCCAAACAATCAGAAAGGGGATTCATCGGAGAAAATGACTTTACTCCCAGTCCTCAGTAGTCCAATCCCTGTACCTTTTGCAGAAAATCAGTCTGCCCCGGATGTTTTTCATGGGGAGAGAAGTGGCTTCTTTGCTGCCCTTCTTGACACCAGGCCATCCTCCAAACGCCTTCACCTCCATTTGCATGCCAATGCACTCACACCTGCCTGCTGCAATTGCTGATCAAGCTCTTCACTGGTGGTGCCCCGATCCTGCAGCTGAATCAACATTTGAAGACAGTTTGGGCACTTGTTGGACTTTTGTGGCCGCCCTGAAATTTTTTCACAACAATTGAACCTCTCTCCTTGAAGTTCTTGATGATCTAATAAATGGTTGATTTAGGTGCAATCTTAGTAGCGGCAATATTCTTGCCTCTGAATCCCTTTGTGTGCAAAGCAGTGATGATTGCATGTTTCCTTGCAGGTAACCATGGTTAACAGAGGAAGAACAATGATTTTGAGTGCCACTGGCTTTTTAAAGCTTCCAGTCTGTCGTTCTAATTCAGTCAGCATGACAGAGTGATCTCCAGCCTTGTCCTCATCAACACTGACACCTGTGTCCTTTGTGGCAGCACTGAAATGCAGTGGAAATAAATTATTTTTTTTTTTTTAATTAAGTTCATTTTCGTGATAAAGAGGGACTTTGCAATTGATTTCAAATCATCTGATCAATCTCCATAACATTCTGGGGTATATGTAAATTGTCATCATAAAAACTGAGGCAGCAGACTTTGTGAAAATTATTATTTGTGTCATTCTCCTAGATTGTAAGCTCGAAAGAGCAGGGCCCTCAATCCCCTCATGTTTTGCATTGTATTGTTGTTGTTCTGTCACATGTTCTGTCCCCCTTTGTAATGTACAGCGCTGAGCGAACTATTGGCGCTTTATAAATACTGTATAATAATAATAATTAAAACGTTTGGCCATGGCTGCATAAACGTGATTCTGCACTTCCTGGTAGATGCGTTTGTTTTGGGGTACAAATGTATTGTGTTTATCCAGTTTCATTGATTTTAACAATGTCTGATTTTTACATAAAATCATATGTAAAAAAAGTGATTTTTATGTAATACATATATTTGTGTTGTAAAGTTTGGCACCTAAAAAGTCCCATTTTATTATTGTTCTTTGAGTTGATCACTAACTGAAAATGTCACCAACCTGACTCAAGCTTATCTTCATGTCACGTTATCTATTTAAACGCTTAAGGGCCACCCTATAGCAGATATACTGCTACAGGGTGGCACCTGTGCACAGAAACACGTGTGTGTGTATATACGTCATTCTGCATTTCCGGGTAGGGGGCACGTGCGCTCTACCCGTGCTGCCATTTGCGACCGCGGATGTCAATCACCGGGTCCCAGCCGGTAATTGACATCCTTCCCTGCCTGTCAGCTCAAGCACACTGCCATCCCAATCAGTGTGCTTACAGTGAAGAACACACACCCCCTAGTAAAACACTCCCAGCACACAGTTAACCCCTTTGATCGCCTCTCACATTAACCCCTTCCTGCCCAGTGTCATTAGTACAGTGCAGTGCTTTTTCTTTTTTTTTTTTTTTTTTTTTTTTTTTTTTTTTTTTTAGCACTGATCACTGTATTGGTGTCACTGGGGTGTCATTGACACCAAGTTGGTTCAGAATGTCCACCGCAGTCCTGCTAAAAGTCGCTGATTGCCACCATTACTAGTAGAAAAGAAAAAAATACCATTATCTATACCGCCATTTGTAAATGCTATAACTTTCACGTAAACCAATTCATTTACACGTATTGGGTATTTTTTAGCAAAGACATGGAGCAAAATACATTTTGGCCTAAATTTATGATGAAATTTGATTTTTTTAAAAATTTTTTAGGACATGTTTAATATCAAAAAGTCCAAAATATATTTTTTTTTTCTCAATTTTCGGTCTTTTTTTTTTTGCTTATAGCGCAAAAAATTAAAAATGCACAAGCGATCAAATGCCACCTAAAGAAAGCTCAATTTGTGGGAAAAAAGGGACGTAAATTTAATTTGGGTGCAGCGTTGCATGACTACGCAATTGTCAGTTAAATTAACGCAGCGCCATAACGCAAAAAATGGGGTAAATCCTTAGAAGGGCAAGGGGTTAAGCAGTTTTTTTCCCTTGCATGCACAACAGTGTGGCGTTGAAAGGGTAGAGGAGCTTTGCTAAAGTAAACTTCGTATGTTCACGTTGATCTTTACCATTTTTCTACGTCACATAAAGGTCACCCAAATATGATCTCATTTCAGTTAGCAGACTTTATCAATTATCCCTCATCCCTTTGCTCTCTCCTCCTATCAGCAATATGTTCCTTGTGCTGCTGCACAACTGATCAGCTCCTTGTGCTGCTTCTGCCTCTTTTTGAGCTTTGCTGCTCAGCGATGGTAAAAAGCTGACATCAAGTCCAATTCAGGCACTTGTGCTTCTTTGACTTCAACTAAATATTTATGGAGCTGCATTGATTTGAGTCTTTTGTTTCTGGCTGGAGTTCAGCCTGAAAGGATTTCCCCAGGAAATAGAACTTGCAAGTGCAGTGGGAAGTAAGGGTGATGCATTAATTATACTTGCCTCTGGGCTGTCCTATCAAAGATCCAAGTCCCCCAAAATGGTTCTGGGATGGCATGGGTGCTAATTAGTTCAGTTCTTAAGTTTTGTGCAGTCTCCATTTCCAGTCCTTGCTATTTTTTAATGAAATTCTTTGCCTCAATTGGTGGCCCCCATAGACTGCCATTGCAGCGGCTAATAAGGGTAAGGCTAGGTTCACATCTGTACGGGTGGTGCTGCTGCAGATCCGCACAAAAATCCATGCAACTGCACCACCCGCACAGAAGAATGCGGAACCGCAGGTGGGCGACAGTTCTAATGGCATGCCGCCCGCACTGGAAATCACATCCGTACTGGGAACCGAGGTTCCCGTGTGGGCTGCGGTTTCAGAAGAAGTGCAGGGACTTTTTCCCTGCGTGTCCCGGGGCACAGGAGTCCATTCAAATGAATTGGCTCTCGTGCCCACGCAAAACAAGACCCCCACACGGCCACATATATGTGAACCGGGGGTAAGCGAACAGAACACATGGCTCTGAAAGCATTAAGTTAACAGGTGCCACATGATTCTAATCATTTCAATAAAGACACTTTAAAATGATGGCGGTAGAGGTTGATTGATACATTTTTTGTTTTTCTCTTTTTTTGCAGATAATATAAAAGTCTCCGTAAATGATTTTATCATCAAAGCCACAGCTTCAACCCTCAAAGTAAGTTTCTAACATGTCATTAGCTGATTATCAGACATGTATTTCTCCTACCTGTCATCCTAAATACACCTGAACATTTCATATCATTCACTCTCTGGCCTAGTATATATTATCACCCCACTTGCTTGCCAAATACTGTGCGTTACCTCATTTTGCAGTAATCCACATTAAAAGGAAAAGAATCGGGACCTAAGGGCTCATTCAGATGGTCATCAGACCCGTCCTCTGCTTTGAGCCACTATCTGCTGTGTGTGAATCCACCTCAGAGCTGCATGCAGGCAGCCCATAGAAGTGAATGCAGACGCTGCAGCTGCATGAAAGTCTAACATTCTAGCAGGATCTGGTGGACGGATCCAAAAGCAGACATTATGGGGTTGATTTACTAAAGGCAAATATACTGTGCACTGCAAGTACAGTTGCTCCAGAGCTTAGTAAATGAGGTAAACCTTCACTTTGCAAAACATACCTAAACACATGCAGGGAAATAAAAACAGCATTTTTCTTACACATGATTGGATGCTAAAAATCAGCAGAGCTTCCCCTCAGATCTAGAGCAACTTCGCTTGCAGTGCTCAGTATATTTGCCTTTTGTAAATCAACCCCTGTGTGTTCGGTCCTGTGCTTCTGCTCACATGCCTGATTTTGACATGTGACTTTGTCCGTGCAGCCGCTGTATTTGCAGCCACTCCTGTGAGCTGCCTGCATGCAGCTCCAAGGTAGATTCACATGCAGCAGACGGCGGTTCAGATAGAAGGCTGGGTATGATCACTCGTTTGAATGAACCCCAAAAGTGGCCTTCGTTGCCTTAAGTACTATTTCCCCCCCCCATCCCATCCTATCCCCACCCCCACCCCCACCCCCTTCCTCCTGGTAAGTCCTACACAGAACTTATGAACCCGATGAAGTGTTTGGATGCCTGAAACTTTCTTGTTCAGCATACCTGCCTTTGCACGTTCCTTTGCAGTTTCAGAACAAAAATACATTGTATGAATATGCTCTAACTATATATATATATATATATACAGGAAGTGAAAAAACTAAATAAATAAAAAAAATGAAATTTGTCCTAACCTAACCCCCCCGCTGCACAAAATATATACATGATTAAAGGTGCACTATTAATGAAAGAACTGTAGCTGTCTTCAGTGCTGGTCTTGCGATGAAGTACTGAAAAATTGCCCACGGGAGCTTAACCACAGCAGAGGTTCTTTTTTCAGTCAGACCCACTAAGAGGGGCCTTAAAAGACTTTTTTTTTTTCTCCTTTTGATTTAACCAGCCATTTGCTAGTTCTGGCTCAGTGACGTAAAGCCCAGGTCTGGGGAAATAAATATTAATTGCTCGCTTAGAGAAAGAATAAAAGGTTGTTTACATGGTCCCCACAGTGGCTTCACCCCCACACCCCCCAGCAGTGGTAGGGTCCTAACGTCATCAAGGTCCATAGTCATGAATATGCCAAGGGGCATTCCACATTCAGATAGTAGGCTGGATGAGAAGATCAGGTAATCAAAGGGTTTCTCCTCTTTACTAGACAAAATTAGCAATTAACACTTGCAGTGCAGGCACAGCCCAACTGCAAAGGCTAATTTTATAGTATCAAAGCCACGGGCGGCCAGGCAGTTAGCATTTTAGTAGATAACTATATTTCTCCCAAGTACAGGTTATTTAGGGGAGCAAAAAAAAAGGAAGAAAATGTTAAAGCTGATCTCCAGGCAAACACCTGAATACACAGGTGAAGTGCATATATGGGAGCTTTTTTATCTGCTAAAGAATTTGTATTTCACACAGCACATGGCACAATTCTGTCTAATAGGGCAGGAGAACTGATATTTCTCTACTGCAGTTAAATGATACATCTAGATCTCGTCTCTTCCAGCCCTCGACTGGATAGTGAAAGAGAAAGCAGTAGCCTGGTGAGCTTATCTCGCTCACTCTGCAATCTCCTCCTGTCCGCATGTGCCCCTTTTTACTGCAGCACAACGTATCACTCCTTGTTCTGCTTCTCTCTCTCCTAATTTGATTTCTGCACAAGACTGATATCAAATTCAGGTATTTGCACTGCTTGTATTTGAAAAAATACATTTAAAGGGTAAGTTCACCTTTAAAAAAAAAAAAAAAAAAATAAATAAATGCACATTTTTTCTAAGGAGCCTCCGGAGCATTGCACCCACGATCATCAGATCCAAGTGCAGTCTCAGGATAGCTGTCTGCCCATACCTCGTATGGGTAGGCAGTTATTTGAGAACAGGAAGAATCAATGGCGCACAAGAGCACTCACCAGCTCCCTCGCAGTTCATTGAGAACTACAAGCTGTCCACCGCAGTGGCTGATGGTAGTTGTAGACATTCATTCACAGGAAACTGAATAAATGACGATGAGCCCCGCATGGTTGCGTTATTTTCAAATGGTGACAGCGGGTTCGGGGATAGGATCCCCAGCCTGCTGTCACAGGGTGGGAGGGATCAGGGGGAGAGGCTGCCAATGCTGGAACATGTTACATGTTCTACCCTAAAAAAAACGGGAGGAACTTGTAACATGTTCCAAAAGGTGAACTTATCCTTTAAGGATGTATTAATGAATACACAGCCTAAAGCATTTGTGTCTGTTATATTTGCCTGGATTTTAGTTTAAATCAAAAACTAAGCAGTGATTTCTTGAGGGCCTATGTACATCTTTGTGGTGCTTTAACGCACAGCATGCCTGCTGTAATGTGTGAAGGTGGCCCTGTATATAAGGTAGGAGGGGTGCTTTATGCAGTATCCACCTACTTTAAAGGAACCCATATTGAGAGAAGTATGAAGCTACCCTTAGCTGCCATTAAGGAAACTAGTCACCTGGCTGCCCGATGTGCCAAAAAAGTTGCATGCTCCTTCTTTTTTTTTGCAAAGCAGCATACCACAACACATTTAGGGTGCATTGAGATGCCATTTATGATGCAGTTCACCAGCACTCATGAAATGTGCTGTTGGGTGTTGGGTTACCGCAGCACAGCTGTTGTGTCTACATACTTGCTTTTAGTCTGTGCACCAGAAGACATTACATTCATTGGATTCTGCATGGCAGCCAGGCATTTTCAGTAGGGGTTCATTATGGCAGACTTCATATTTTGTCAGTGCAGGTTTCCTTTAACCGCCTTCTGCCCGCCATATAGTAATATGACGGACGCAAGATGGTTCTCTCATTCTGGGAGGACGTCATACGACGTCCTCCCATTCTAACCACGCATGCGCAGCTCCCGGAGCACGCAGCATAGTGATCGGCGGTGCGCTGTGTCCCTCGGATCCACGGAAAGTGCCGAAGATGTCGGCTCGGTCATGTGATCAGCTGTGATTGGACACAGCTGATCACATGTAAACAGGGAAATGCCTGTTATCGGTATTTCTCTCCCCGCGAACTGTCACGCTGACAGCTCGAGAGGAGAGCCGGTAATCTGCATTCCTCGGAGGGGACATGTACACAGATCATCAGTGCACTGATGATCAGTGTGCCCTGATGATCTGTGTAGCCCCAGCAGCGCCACCTGTCAGTGTCCATCAGTGCCACCTGTCAGTGTCCATCAGTGCCAGCTCTCAGTGCTCATCCATGCCACCTATCAGTGCCACATTTCAGTGCCCATCTGAGCTGCCTTTCAGTACCACCTGTCAGTGCTGCCTATCAGTGCCATCTAACAGGGCAAGTCAGTGCCACCTATCAGTGCCATATATAAATGCTGCCTTTCAGGGCCCATCAGTGATGCCTGTCAATGCCCATCAGTGGCTCCTCATTAGTGCCACCTATCAGTGTCCATCAGTGCAGCCTATCAGTGCCCATCTCTGCAGCCTCATTAGCGCACATCAGTGAAGGAGAAAAATCACTTATTTAGAAAATTTTATAACAAATACTAAGAAAAAACTTTTTTTCAAAATTTTCAGTGATTTTTGGTTTGTTTAAGAAAAAATAAAAAACCCCGAGGTGATTAAATACCACCAAAAGAAAGCTCTATCTGTCACAAAAAAAAAACAAATGATAAAATTTCATATGGGTACAGTGTTGCATGACCGCGCAATTGTCACTCAAAGTGCAACAGCGCTGAAAGCTGGAAATTGGCATTGGCAGGAAGGGGGTATAAGTGCCCTGTAGGCAAGGGGTTAAATTGACTTGTAGCTATGGTGATCTCTTCCTGCTGAAAGTAGTAAGTAATATCCACATCACAGGCACTAGCAGATTGGGAGTCAACCTATTAGTGAATTTATACTTGGCAATGCCAACTCCCTGTGATAGGAGAGATTGCAACACGTACTGTACACGGGCGGGCAGTGTGTGAACAGGGCCAAGTGTGATGCATTGGCAGCAGCACTAATTGTGTGGAGTCACTTTACAGTAAATATTACATCAGTCACCTTAACCCCTTCTTTTCTGCTTCACTGTAAAATATATTATCTAATGATCACGTGATTGGTGGTATCCTTTAAAGCGCACCTGTCAACATTTTTCAATGCAATATGTTTCTGCGGTGCATCTGAAGTTAGCTGCTGGTCAAGTTTGAGGCCACCTGTTCAAGTTTGTTTGATATCTCATTGTAAACCCATCCAATAATACAGAATTGCCCCCCTCTGTGTCTATAACCGCCTTCACTCTTCTGGGATGGTTTTCAATGAATGTGAAGTGGTTCTGTGGCAACCTTTGCCCATTCAAGCAAAGGAACGTGTGGAGTCATGTTGAATGAGAAGACCTGGTTTGCAGTCAGCCTTCCAGTTCATTCTAAAGGAGTTTACTGGGGTTGGGGTCAGGAGTCTGTGCAAGCCATTTGTGCTTCTCCACCCCAAACTCCTCAAACCATGTATCTATGGATCTGACTTTGTGTACAGAAGCACAGTCATCTTTGAAGGGTAAAGTATTCAGTAGGGTTGAGACCAGGGATCTGTGCAGGACACCCACGTTTCTCCACACCAAACTCATCAAACCGTGTGTTTAATGTGCACAGGGGCACAGTCATGCTGGAAGAATAAGTTGTTCAGTAGAGTTGAGGGCTGTGTGCAGGCCACTTGCATTCATCCATGCCAGACATGTCAAACTTCCCCTTTGACGTTCCTGTTGCTACAAGGTTGAAAGCTCACAAAATGTCTTTGCATGCTGTTGTATTAAGTGTCATGGTCTTGCGTCCACCAACCTTTGGCCTTATAGTGCCGGAAAACTGTTTGATAACCATAACTAATTTACCTCTCCACCCCTCCAGTCTCCGCCCGTATCACCCACCTACTGAACGACATATCAGACTGGATGTCGCTCCATTTCCTCAAATTGAACCTTTCCAAAACCGAGCTCCTGATTTTCCCCCCAGCCCGTGCCCCCCTCCCCCCCACCACCCTCTCCATCATGACCAACAACGCCACCATCAGTCCCACCCCACAAGCCAAAGTCCTAGGTGTCACTCTGGACTCAAACCTGTCCATCCAACCCCATGTCCAATCGTTGGCAAACTCATGCAGGCTCCACCTCCGCAACATCTCCAAAATACGTTCGTTCCTAACCCCAGACACTACTAAACAACTCGTACACTCCCTTATTATCTCACGTCTGGACTACTGCAACTCCCTTCTCACCGGCCTGCCTCGCCGCAGACTATCCCCGCTTCAGTCTATCCTGAACTCAGCGGCCAGACTCATCCACCTTACCAACCACTCCGCATCTGCCACCCCCCTCTGTCATTCCCTCCATTGGCTCCCGATTGCCCAACGCATTAAATTCAAACTACTAACACAGACATACAAAGCCATTCATAACGCTGCCCCAAACTATCTCACCGACCTGATACCCAAATACCACCCTACCCGTAATCTTCGCTCCTCACAAGACCTCCTACTTTCTAGCTCCCTGGTCTCCACCTCCCACGCCCGACTGCAGGACTTCTCCAGGACTTCCCCCATCCTCTGGAAGTCACTACCCCAATCCATCAGACTGTCACCTACCCTCCTCACCTTTAGGCGCACCCTGAAAACCCATCTCTTCAGGGAAGCCTACCCCGCCCTCACCTAACAGCCGATCTCCTCATACCACTCCATCCCCCACAGCCACTTCCTCCTGTGCCACTATCCCCTCCCTCCTAGATTGTAAACTCGAAAGAGCAGGGCCCTTGACCCTCTCGTGTATTGTCTCATGTTCTGTCCCCCACTACAATGTACAGCGCTGAGAATACCTTTTTGCGCTATATAAATACTGTATAATAATAATAACTAGACCGTCACCTTTGCCCTGTTTATAAGACTGCAAAGGACATGGAGTACAGCCACAGTATGGCCATGCCAGACTCATCAAACCACCCCCTGGACTTTTCCCAAACTGTTGCTACAAGTTTGAAAGTTCTCAATTGACTAAAATGTCGTTTGCGTGCTGTAGTGTTAATAGTTCTCTTCACTTGAAAAACCTTAACTCAAACATTTGGAGGGATGTCTACAAACTTGGCCATATAGTAGGTATCATGGTCATGTGTCCACCAACCTTTGGCCTTATGGTGCCTGAAAACTGATAACCATAACTTGACTATCACCTTTGCCCTGTTGTATATGTCTGCAGTGGACATGTACGGCCACAGGTGGTTAATAAATCTCCGCCAGTCGGCACATGTTGTGCTCCCCAATCCCAGCAGATTCTCCTTGAGCAGAACTTCTGTGTGTATGAGCAACGGCTGAGTCCTCTTCGCCCCCCCCCCTTCCAGCCAACAGCTTAACAGCCTGCTCATGTCTGCCAGTACAGAACGCCTTCTCCGTTGTGTGTACTGGATAGGAAAATTCATTTTACTGACACGGGGCATTTCACAGTCTACGGGAAACAAATGTATTCCTTCTGCCGTTGTTTTAGTTTGTAGAAGTTAATCTTCGGGAGTTCCGGATGACTTGCTCTTTTGTTCCACTCGCTGGCTTTGTGTAAGCAGAGCTCGGTCCCCTCTCCTGTTACTGTATCACAGACGTTCCAGACAGGGATTTACCCATATGCCATGTTTTTGTATAGGAGAGGAAGTAGATCTGTGTCTAAGGCATCCTGCTCAGAGTGCTTGTAAAATCAAATTTCCACATAATACGCTGGAAGTCTAACTTACAAGCTGCTTTAAAGGGAAAGTATGAACATTTTCTTCTCTTTAGATATGCATGTAAAAGAGATCAGCTTGTAAATTTCAGCCAGCAAGGGAGCGACACAGTAGGGGTAGGTAAAGTGCTCTATAGCGATCCTGTTACTGGGAAGTTGCCACCAGTAAAGGAATTGTTAAAATGTGACATAACCCTCCTGAATCACATACATTCCCTCTCTAGCACTCATCTGATATCAGCTACTGTGATTAGCCACTTTGCTTAAAGCAAGTCTCTGGCCAAACTTTGGACATTCAAGTATTTACATATTCTTCCATAGTAAATGAGCTGTGAAAGTGGATCTCAGTGACCTCTGTTGTTGCAGACACTGTGGATCAAATTATCCTCAAGTTTCACAGTGAAGACCTATAAGCCTCTCTTCCTCCCTCCCTCCCACCCTCCCTCTTCCTCCCCCCCTCCCCCCCTCTCTCCCTCTGTCTCCCTCCTGCCCTCTCTCCCTCCCGCCCTCTTGTCTCCCTCCTGCCCTCCCCCTCCCCCTCCTGCCCTCTCCCTCCTGCCCTCTCCCTCCCTCCTGCCCTCTCCCTCCCTCCCCCCCCTCTCCCCCTCTTTGCTTCTCTCTCCCTCTCCCCCTCTTTGCCTCTCTCGCCCTCTCCCCCTCTTTGCCTCCCTCTCCCCCTCTTTGCTTCTCTCTCCCTCTCCCCCTCTTTGCTTCCCTCTCCCCCTCTTTGCTTCTCTCCCCCTCTCCCCCTCTTTGCTTCTCTCCCCCCTCTTTGCCTCTCTCCCCTCTTTGCCTCTCCCCCCCTTTGCCTCTCCCCCCCTCTTTGCCTCTCCCCCCCTTTGCCTCTCCCCCCCTTTGCCTCTCCCCCCCCTCTTTGCTCTCTCCCCCCCTTTCTTTCTCTCCCCCCCTTTCTTTCTCTCCCCCCTCTTTCTTCTCCCCCCCTCTTTGCCTCTCCCCCCTCTTTGCCTCCCCCCCCCTTTGCTTCTTCCCCCCCTTTGCCCCCTCTCCCCCCCCCCCCTCCCCCCCCTTTCCCTCCCCCCCCTCCCCCCTCCCCCCTTCCCCCCCCCCCCTTCCCCCCTTCTCCCCCCCCCCCCTCCCTTCCCCCCTCCCCCCCCCCCCTTCCCCCCCCTCCCCTCCTCTCCCCCTCTCCCCTCCCCCCCTCTCTCTCCCCCCCTCTCTCTCCCCCCCCTCCCCCCTCCCCCTCCCCCCCTCCCCCCTCCCCCCCCTTCCCCCCCTCTCTCCCCCCTCCCCTCTCTCCCCCCTCCCCTTCCCCCTCTCTCCCCCCCCCCTCCCCTTCCCCCCCCTCTCTCCCCCCTCCCCTTCCCCCCTCTCCCCCTCCCCCCTCTCTCCCCCTCCCCCCCTCTCCCCCCTCCCCTCCCCCCTCTCTCCCCCTCCCCTTCTCCCCCCTCTCTCCCCCTCCCCCCTCTCTCCCCCCTCCCCCCCCCCTCTCTCCCCCTCTCTCTCCCCCTCCCCTCTCTCTCTCCCCCCTCTCCCCCCTCTCTCTCCCCCCCCCTCTCTCTCTCCCCCTCTCTCTCCCCCCTCTCTCTCTCCCCCTCCCCCTCCCCCTCTCTCTCCCCCCCCCTCTCTCTCCCCCCTCCCCCTCTCTCTCTCCCCCCCCCCCCCTCTTCCCCCCTCCCTCCCTCTCTCTCCCCTCCCCCCCCCTCTCTCTCCCCCCTCTCTCTCCCCCTCCCCCCCCTTTCTCTCTCTACCCCCCCTTTCTCTCTCTCCCCCCCCTTTCTCTCTTTCCCCCCCCCTCTCTCTTTCTCCCCCCCCCTCTCTCTTTCTCCCCCCCCCCCCTCTCTCTTTCTCCCCCCCCCTCTCTTTCTTCCCCCCCCCATCTATACTTTAGAGGTTACAAAGGCAGTAGACTACTGAGTTACTGCTGGTAGGGAAGAGCAGGGTGAGCTAAGCTGCCAGGTCACTACTAGGAAGGAGGAGCAAAGCTGCTAAGTTATTTCTGGCAGGGGGAAAGCTGGGTGAGCTGAGCTTCCCAGTCACTTCTAGGAGGAGAAGCAGGGTGAAGAGAACGTCTGAGTGTCTGCTGGGATTGGGTAGTATGGTTTGCTTAGCTGTCAGGTCACTACTTGAAAGGAGGAGTAAGGAGAGCTGAACTGTCAAGTCACTACTTTGAGGGGGACACAGGGTGAGCTAAGCCTCCCATTCACTTCTAGGAGGAGAAGCAGGGTGGGCTGAGCTGCTGAGCCACCACTGGGTGGGGATGAACAGGGAAAGTTAAGCTGTTTAGCCACTGCTGTCTGGGATGGGGGCTGGAGTGGAGTTGGGGGGTTGAGTGAGGGCTGACAGGGTGTTCTTAACTGCCAAGTCACTGTTAGATGAAGTAGCTGGGCTTCTGAGTGGCCTGACTTGAATTACTTCAGTGCTTCTGGTGTGAAATTTAAGGATGAATTGCTCCACAGTGCCTGCAGCTACAGAGGTCAGTGAGAATTTGTTTCAAAGCTCAACCAGTGCTCATTCAGAATACATAAATATTTGAATGTCCATAGCTCTGCCACAGATTTGCTTTAATGAGTGTTTAGGTGTGCTCAACTAGCCTTATAGATGGGGTCTGATTTTCATCCTTGACAGATCTGACTAAAAGTTGCAATGAGAGGAGAGAAGCAGAGTTGCCCCCATGTGTATAGATAACTGCAAACTGTACTAAGAAACAAGCATTTTAAAACATTAACACACATTGATAAGGGTAAGTTACATTAAAGTGAGCACACTAGTTTATACCCTGCAAAAAGGGCTGTAAATTCACTATAATGACAATGTTGCCTTTATGGTAATTTGTTAATGTAGAAAAATGGTCATATCCATTATAAAGCCAAAAGATTACAATCTTTGCATCCACATTTTAGCTTTTGTATTGCGCTCACTTAAATTATCTGGTCTTCTGAACAGATCACTCTAATGGCATCCTCCTTTCTACCCCCAGCAACTGCCTGAGGTGAATGTCACATGGAATGGAGAAGGCCCCAGCAAGTTGGAGTCCATTGACATCTCCATCGCCGTGGCAACCGACCGAGGCCTAATCACTCCTATAATAAGACAAGTCAGCAACAAGGGAATTCAAGAAATTGCAGAGACTGCAAAGGTGAGACACATTAGTGACACGTGCCCCGAGTGTGTCACCGCTGCTTGACAGCTGCGTCTGAGCTATTTTCATCGAGAAGAAGAAAAAAAAAAAAAATTTCTGCTTAAAGCGCCATCCTTCTGTTTGCTGCAGAGGAAATAAGTGCTAGTCAGTAGGTGTAAATTGCACTGACTAAACATTTAGCAGCTTGTCATAGGCTTCATGAATAGAAGTACCTGTGCTCGAAACAGGCGCTGGTTGTTATGAACAACAAGAACAGTTTTTCTGTCAGACACATAGTGCCTTTACACACCTATAGAGGAGAGAAAAAAGGAGGCGCCAAAAACTAAGTGCAGATTATTGTTGTCACATTTAACCCCCCTGGCGGTATTCCCGAGTGTAGCTCGGGGTAAAGTTTCAGTACCAAAAGCGGTAACCCCAAACTACACTCGGGCTTACCATGCGACACTGCTCCAGGATCTGTTTTTCTCTTACCTTGTCCTGCGCTCCCACGATGTCCCTCCTGCAGTGTCCCCTGTAATGTCCTCCAGCGGATGCCGGCATCTGTCTTCTGGGTTCTGCGACCTCGGGACATACGGGGGACGGAACAGCGGGAAATTTGAAAATGACAAAAAGTAACATTCACTAAAATCACATAGTAAAACATTCCTGTATCAAACCATTTCACATACATTTTGTCCCGAGTGCTTTGTCCGGCGCCCTGACTGCATTTTTACTGTTCTTTCTGCCTGGAAACTGAGAAAATCCATGGCGTCCAAAAAGCGTCCCTTTATGTCAAAAGCGGTTTTAGACCGGCTAGAGAACAGCGATAGTAAATTAGAACCACTTGCAAAATTGAGTGATAATGATTCGTGGGGGAAATTCATCATCAGACACTGAAAACGATTCTGCGACTTTGCTCAGTGATGTGCGAACTTGGAGCTATATTTCACATTTCAGTGTTTTGGTTTGATTATATTATTAAATTTATTATTATATTATTTTTTATGATTATTTATTAAATTATAATTTATGATTTCGTGTTTCAAATTTTAACATACTCAGGATATTTACTAGACTCTTGTTCAGACATATTTCAGTGGGTTGTTCCTAAAAATTACAGGTCTACAATAAAAAAAAAATATGTATTTCCATGCAAAAAAAATGTACCGCTTTGAGCACAGAAATACGGACATAATCAGACCACTAGTGAGGTTAATGGATAGGTATAAAAAACACTCACAAGAACAAAGATATAATAAAGCTCATCTGTATAAGACCACTCTCCTCTGTCCTGTAGGGTACCGCCGGGCAAGCCAAAGTGACAGCTGGAGCCGTGGGTGTTGTGGAGGGAACTCCGCTGGGTATGTGGCTGAGCTGAAGCTGATCAATGGCGTCTGTATCCAGGAAGTGGTCACATGACCAGCATGGACGTCACCGGAAGTGGTAGAGTCAGTAGGAAGATCTCGGGAACACAGAACAGAACCCACGGCTCCAGTTGTCACTCTGGCTTGCCCGGCGGTACCCTACAGGATGGAGGAGAGTGGTCTTATACAGATGAGCTTTATTATATCTTTGTTCTGCACTTAGTTTTTGGCGCCTCATTTTTTCTCGCCTCTATTTCTGCATACAGAGTTGGCCTTGCTGTATAGGATGGCAGCCATTAACCAATAACCACATCATTATACAGAGACTCTTTACGGGCTTTATTTATATACCACTTTGTGCCTATAGAACTTATCATGGTTTTTTGCTAGTTCATGTTGAACTATACTATTTACCTTATCCTAATTTCCCAAACCTCTTTCCCCCCCCCCCCCCCCCCCCTTCTACAGAATTGTGGAGTATCTATGCGCTGAGCGCCAGATCTTTCTCTGCCTTTACACACCTATGCATGTGCAGTTAAAGTGCGTTTTTATGTCTACTTATTTGCATTAATGTGGAAATCTGGGCCAACCCTAACTACTCTTAAAACTGCTCCCTACCCCCTCCTGACACCTATACATATTGCAAGGTTCTGGAGGACACACTGGCCAAATGACAGGTATTATTGCAGAGGCAGCAATAACGGCTCTCAGTGTGTTTTCCGGATACCTCGCAAATGGATATCCTTTCATCCTCTTTATACTGTAAAAAGAGGAACCGGAGTGCTCTAAGATGGACCAAACACCCAATTTTCAAAAGTAGCAGCAACAAAGCCTGGAACATCAGCAGGGTAATTTTACTGAGGAATGAGCTGTGGTTTTAGCCTGGCAGGTTTCCCTCTGTATTGGGAAAAACACTTTTTTTCATGGACACGTGAGAAGAATTTTGGTGACATGGATAAAATCGCAACAAGGTCTCTTTAAAGCATAGCAAGAACAGACAACAAATATCTCTGCCTGTCTAGGTAGGAGTTTAGTTAATCTGCTTATTATCAGAGTTTTGGGTTTTAGCATCTGATTAGTTGATTGGAGATATGTGGAGATCTGTACAGGCTTGCTATTATAACCTATTATTTAAAGCTGGCAAATTTACAGATGAAATACATATATGGGAGCTGTGTCACCAGCCAAAGGATTCAAATTGCTGTGCATCCAGTTCCTTGTTTAATATGTATTTTTATATGCGCTATTAGTCTGTTACGCCACACTTTGTTATTCATTTTGGTACAGGTGTTGTGACGTCACTAACAGTGTTTTAGCAACAACTATATAGAGCAGCCTTTCTCAACCAGGGTGCCTTGAGGTTTCTTCAGGGCTGCCTTGGCAAAATGTCCAAAAATTGCCCAAAACTTGTATACAAGCCAGTGGATAGAACAAGCCTTTTAGTTACAGAAAGCCATGGGTTTTCATAGTACACCATTACGATCTTCTAGCCGCCAGCGTCCTGACAACCAATGACATCATCAGTTGATAAGGAGGTTGTCAGCCGCCTGCACAGCATCCTAGTTTGATCATCCCCTGCCTCTCTCCATCAGTCCTGGGGTCACATTAGCTCAGTGATGGAGAAAAACTGAGGGAGAAGAGAAACATTGGGATACTAGTCAGTACCAGTGTGCAGAAGTGTATTTGCTTTGGAAGAATAAATCGTCTCTAATGTTGGGAGTCCTACGTGTGTGGATGTTGCTGCGTTATATAAAACTATTAGAATCGTTTTTCACATTTTAGAATGGGGTGCCTCAAGACTGTCCATAATTTTAAAGGGTGCCTTGACTGAAGAAAGGTTGAGAAACACTAATTTAGAGCAGTATCATATTATTTTAGGGTGTGTTGCGCTGATTGAATAGGGGTTTACATCCAGTCCCTGACATTTCCATAGTTCTGCCAGACAGGAGAGCCAGGCTGGTGTCATGATTTTTAATGCAGTTAAGCAAAAAAATGTAGGTTACTTGCTTGCCCCCAGCCTGTGATTGGACAGTGAAGGAGCAGCAGCAGTTCACCCTCTGCTCACTCTACTCTTTCCACTTGTCAGCATGTTCATGGTCAATGAATTTGGATACAACACGCCTGACTATGGAAGGTGAGTTTGTATGGTTGGGGGTGAGTTGAGCTATGGTGATCCTTTAGATATATCCCAGAATGAGGTCTCATGCTGAGGTTGGTGATGACCTTCATGTTGTTGGTAAGGCCCTTTTTATATGGATGTTCTGATCAAGTTCACTTGTCAGTTTTTCAGGCGAATCTGATGGGAAGGTCCATTCATTCCTATAGACAGGTGGGTGTAAACGGATTTGTGTCCATTTACACCCGACTACCTTCAATCCGATCCAGTCTGCTCAAAAAATGGAAGGAGATTAGTCCTCTTCCTTTTAGGTTGAATGGATCGGAAGGTAGGCGGGTGTAAACAGACAGAGGAATCTGTTGACTTCCATCTGCATATAGAGCAGAGTGGGCTCTGTCCGTGTCTGCTCAGCATTAACTGAGCATACATGGTTGTGTCATTCACCCGCTCTGATCCAATCAGCAGGGAATCTGTGAGTGAATCCCCTGCTGCTCAGAACAAAATCTGCACCATGTGAAAGGGGTATGCAGAGGCCCACTTGTTCGCCTTTTACATCAAAATGCTGTTTTTTCATCCAGGATTATATACAGTAAAGCAAGCCTTACACATCACTTTTTTTTTTTTTTGTTCAACCTGTGGAGTGAACAAAAAATTTTTAGTTTTTTTTAATTTTCCCTATCCACGTTAACAGCGCAGATGTACGAATCTCCAACTGCGGCTATTGACAGCCAGCCCCGCTGAGTGATTTGATGCAGCTGCTGTTGAGCCAACAATTATCTGCCCATTTTTGGGTTTTTTTTAATCCAGATGTTGGGTGGAATCAGGCCAACGGGGCCACCCACTTAGCGAATCTGTACACTGTCTGGCCAGCTTAAAGCAGAACTAAACTCCCGAATATACTCGCTTTTCCCTTTCTAACAATGCAGTGGTTACACCCTGCTGCCATCTTCTCTCCGGGTGTTGGTTTTTAGCCTCTTGATTGGCTGGTGGATGCTGTCATCCCATGCATATGCATGGGTGTCAGTCATTCCAGCAGAGTTGCAGTGTGACGGGAATACATTCTGAGATCCACATACGCAGCTATGTATATGTTACGTATAAAACTGCGACCTGGCAGGTAAGTGTAAATTATTACTGAAGAGACCTAGAATGTCTCTTCTGCATAAAGAGCTGCCTGCTCGCATTTTTCTAAAAGTTAGGTCCACTTTAAACTGTTGCAGACACCAGAGCACCACTTTACAGCTGCCTATTTGGTAGTCACCAGGACCGGAATGAAGAGGAACTTTCCCTTAGAACTGGTTCACATCTGTACGGTGCACCATAGCTAAGTTTTATTTATGTTTTTGGCAACCTACAATTGAAAGTGTTACGAAAGGTTCTTTTTTTTTTTTTTTAATTATATTATATTATGTCATACCTACTCAATGCAATGGGTTTGCACCAGGGTGGATTTGATTTAAATCAAATTTGCTGATTTAAATCACTTTAAATCAGTTAAAGGCTTGATTTCAATCCTAGTTTTCTACATAAAGACTAATTCTTGCTGGTATAACTTTAATATGCAAGTAGATGAAGATTTTTAGAATAACAACTTTTCATATTAGTTTTTTTATCCCAGTTTAATAGGTTAATCATTCATATTTGGACAACTTTTCTGTTGTACTTAAAAAGGAGAAAAATAATCATTACCTTAATAATAACAATTTAAATAGATTTATTCAACTGAAACAATAACATTCCAGCATATGTGATTTGCTTAAACATCCATGTTTGGTAACTAATTTGGCTAAACAAAATATATATATTTTAAGAAACTTAGACTGTCAGCCCCTTCCTCCTCACACTTAGTTTCACTTTCTTCTTGTGCAGATCTATTCCACTCCAAACAATCAAAAACATATTGTTTCTATTCTATTCACTGAACTTCTTGAAACTTAGCACTGAAGGGGTTGATTCTGTATTCATAGGTTTGTAGAAGTTAGGATGAAGGTCTTTTTCTTAACTCTGTTCATGTTATAACATTTTTGCTGTGAAGAGGCATGTGATCTCCGCTGAGTCAAATTCAGTTTTGAGAACTGCAAAAGTAAACCAAACATCTGTGATAATATCTTGTAGGCAGAGAAACTGCCCAATAATCTTACAGAAACCTCTGGAAGAGCATGACATTGTGAATGGATTCATGGAATTTATTTACCAAAAACATTAAACATA